AATTTTGAGCGTAAAAATCTATATATACAAAAGGACAAGAAAATTGTACTAATCGTAATAAAAACATATGAAAAAATATTAAAAATAATCAATATAGAGAAATAATATATAAAAAAAAAATATTCAATTAGAAAGAGAAGTTAAATCGTCTTATAATAAATTACTTAAATTTAAGTACGAAATATAATGTTGTGTGCTTGACATTCTCTACCTTCCAGTTGAAATCAAACTTTTGAGGATATGGTTCAGTAACATATATATATACATATATATATATATATATGTATATTGCATATAAAGAACTTTTTATAGTAGATCTCTGATCCATTCTTCATATAGAGTAAATGGCATTGACTGAACCACCTAAAATTCTCTTCATCTTCTACTTTTGTGTTCCTTAATTTACTTACTAATTCTTCAAATTTCACAACAGCTTCATATGAAAGAAAAACATATATATATATATATATTGCATAAGAAGATTGTATTATACATACTAAAATATAGAGTGTTCACATGATCTAACATATTGAAATTTACAACCTGTCAATCAGTGGTAAACATTGTTGCAGAATCAAATATCAAATCAAGTGAAATCAAATGCATAATATATATATATATATGTATGTATGTATGCATACTGATCGTTCAATTAAGAACATATAAATATTCTCTTGAGCCCATTAAAGTTTGTCATGATATTCATCAAGTGCTGAATCCAGGATTTGATAATTAAGTTTGCTGTTCATTAAAATATATGGGATGATCTGACTGTGTCAACTGTCGGTGGCATGTAATTAACCTTCTCAATCTGGTGAAAGCAACAATATATGTATGCATATATTTATATACACAGACATCAAACATGGATCCTGTAATCTACTAGAGAAGAAGTTATTTAGTTGTACTTAGTATGTTCATTAATTACAACTAGTTAACTTTTTCTCATATATATATATATATATAGATATAGTTATAGATATAGATAGATAGATATGCTTATAATAATCTTCACAGAGCAAAGTCTAAGAAGAATGCATTAAAGGGTCTATTATGATATAATAAATGAAAGAAAAGAAAGTGGAAGAAGGCAAGAAAAGACAAGGTTCTTTTTTTTTTCTTTCTAATGAAATTTTTTAAAATTTAACATTTTTTAAAAAAAGTTGAAAACACTCGTACAATTTTCTAATAATAACATATAATATACATAACCCACGACTTAAAAATACACCCTTTTAAAAAAAGTCGAAGATACTAATCATATAGTAAATTTTTTTATTTTATTGAGTCATGATAAGAGGGATTCATATGAGATCGAGTTAGTCATCGATCGCTTGACGGACATGTAATTAGTTTTTATACTGAGTAGTACTTCATTGGTACTTTGTTTATAACAACGCACTTCTTTTATTTCAAAATAATAATAATAATAATAAATGACATGTACATTAATAACGTAATTTTTTTTTAATAAGAACGCACGAAATGTAAGAACTCATAATTTAAACATTCACTCTCGTAGAAACTAAACATTCGTTGTTCTTCTTCGTTAAAAAAGGTGAAACTTACACGTCAAAATAAAATAAATAGAAGAGGAAGAAAGAGGAAGGAGACAAGAAAAGACAAGTTTTAAAAAATTTAAATACGAACGAATGACACAAAGTCATTGCATTAAGTTTAGAGGGTGTGATGACTTTTAACATATCCCAAAATGTAGTTAGTAAGATTCGTGAAGATCTTCCCTTAAATTAAAACAAACCTTACATATCTCAACGTCAATCACGCAATCACCAAACTTGTTTCATTCACAAATCTACCTTTCCTATTTCATTAATTATATGGGTCCCTCCAATTCACATAACCCATATACACACATATATATACATGTATATGTATATATACATGTACGTATATGGTAAACATCTCATCTTAATTTATAACTAAGTTTAATTTAACCCATCAAACTAGTCTTTCACTCAATGATTTGGAAAAACAAGTATTATGGTTTGATTTTCATGTTGTAAGCAATGATGTTAGGTTCACTTCTTCTAAACTAATTAACCCATACAAGTAAACAAAAATTGAACATATGTAAGTCGCCCATTTTACCTACTTATAATTGGAGTTCACATTTCCACAAATAGAAAAAAAATGGTATATTAATCTATAGTTACTTAATGTTTTGAATTTACCCATAATACACACATATATATATATATGTGTATATATTTTTAACAATGTAAAAATAATAGAAATTTAGAGTAATAAAATCAATAAGTCTTAACTTATATCTTTCGGATTAAAGATGACTGAGAATTTCAGTTTTAAGTTTAATTTCAATTTGTATAAAGAAAATAAATTTAACACTTAATTAGAAAATATATATATTTTTTTTTGTTATACCGAGAGGCAAAAACTAAAAAAATGAATCAAGAGATATTTATAATATTATCAGTGAGAAACTGTTGGAGATAATCTGGCATGTGGATGGAAACCCGTCTATAGGGAGAAGTTAGCGTTCGCAAATGAGTCAGCACATTTATTCCGTTCATAATAGACATGCTGAATACGAACCTGTAAATTGAAAAATTAAAGCTAGGTGATTAATTTAAACCTCCTTACTTATAAAACATTAACCTATAAACAACTACTTTACAGCCGCTATACACATATATAGACGCATATAATATATATATATATATATATATATTTCGGGTACATGTGTGGAATAACTCTTTATACTCAGAACATGATGGAGGAGCCGCATATGGATCTATACTGTATATATATTCACAAGTAGTTGTACGTATAAGAATTTGAAAGTGTTTAATTATTAGATTTCTTGTTCAAAGCTTTTATTGACTTTACGTGTATACATGTATATATTTATATCTGTGTATATATATATGTTCCTCACTTTCTTTTCCTTACTCCTGGATTTCCACAACCAACTCTCTCTCTCTTTCAAGAGAATTATTCACAGAGGGACCGCACCTATAATAAACACGTATAATCAGAATTTAGAAGGCTTTGTTTATTCATTAGCTACCTGGTTTTCTTGTTCTACTCTTTTCTTAATCGATCTTATTCCTTCCTCCTCACTTTCTCTTTCTTTTTCACTCATTTCCACAACCAACTTTCCCTCACTCTCTCTCTCTCTCTCTCAACTCAGTTACCTACAAGCATATCTATATACTATATATATATATATATAGATACGACCATATTTATATATCTCTCGTTCTCCATGTTTGCCATTCAGTTCATGCTATATAAATCCTAACACGCACACACATGCACCCACTTATAACTTGCTGATCATCATCATCATATATTTCACCTCTCCTCTCTCATTTGATCTCTGTTTGTCATGGCTGATATTGATGATTACCATGCAAAAGCTACCCCCACTACCCCTGTGAAGCTTTTCGGCATAAACATACTAGAAAACACCGCAACACATCACCACCACTCCACCAAATCACCGTTTTCCTCGCCGGAATCCGACACCGATGCCAGGAAATACGAGTGCCAGTACTGTTGCCGTGAGTTCGCCAACTCCCAAGCTCTAGGCGGCCACCAAAACGCCCACAAAAAGGAAAGACAGCTTTTAAAGCGTGCCCAGATGCTAGCCCATCGCACCCACCCAGCCTTCTTGTCGTCCTTCGCGCCGCCGCATCTCCTCTCTCCGACGGCTTCTGGGGCGGCGTCTCTGCAACACCCTTCATGGTTTTACCTAGCCGCCAACGCCGGCCATGGGTCGCATGGCGCCACCTACTTTTACGGGCCTGCGGCATCGGGGATGGCGGGAAGGCGAATTTACGAAGGCGGGGGATTAAGTTCGGTGGAGATCTCGGGTCATGTCGGCGGGATGTCGCCGGAGTTGGGGAGGAACGAGGGTGCTGCGGGTCAGGTAGATGGGGGGTTAGGAGTAGATTTACACCTGAGCCTTGGGCCTGGTGTTCCGTAAGTTGTGTAATTTAAACAAAGTTTGGGGGCTTTTCTGTAAATTCATTTTCTTTTTCAATTTTGAAAGGCATTTTTTACATATGTTGTTTCTGATTTTTTTTTTCCTCTCTTTAATTTATCCTCGCATTTTTTTTTATTTTTTTATGTTAAATTTTTAATTATTGAGATTAATTTAAACGTATTAATTTACATCTAATTAATTTAGGATTAAAAACTAATCATAATTTATAAATTTAATGTAATTATGTTTAATATTTAAAATAATATGATTTTTTAATTTAAAATTTATTTATATTATATCCTCATTTAATTAAAATTTAAACTAAATAACTTAATAATATAATATTTTAAAAGGAAATAATTTATTAAAAAAATGGAAGATGCGAAGGCCCAATTCAAGGCCCACCACAGTTGCCGAGGCCCAGCCTATTTAAACGCCGCCGTTTATCCTCTCTCTCTCCATCTTCCTCCGGGGAAAAATCAAGAAGACTCCGGATACAGTACAACGACAACCAAAAACCAGAGGGAAATCCTCGAATAATCAAAGCAGCTGAAGTCCGGTCCTCTCTCCAAGTCACAATTCAAGACGCCGAAAAGGTTTAGCTCGTTTTCAGTCTCCTCCGGTTGTTCCTCTTTTTCGCGCTCTCAAATTTAAGTTTAGTGTCTGCTACGACTTGCTATGTTGTCTGCAATTTCTCTGATGACGTCAGGCAGTTTTCTGGACAGGTCAATGTTGTATGCGGCTTCTGCTCCCGGTTTTTACCTTTCTTATCCAGGAAGTCCTTGTTTTCGACGGAGTAAAATCGTTTCCACAAGGTTTTCTTTGCGTGCTTCCTTGTCGGATAATGACGATAGGTTTAAAGTCGAGTATACACCTTGGTTGATTGTTGGATTGGGTAACCCTGGAAATAAGTATCACGGAACAAGGCACAATGTAAGCAGCTACGTGCATGTTTCGACCTTGATTTCTGTGTGTTGTAATGTTGAGTTTTTTAGTTATACTGAGGGATGATTTTCCCAGGTTGGTTTTGAAATGATTGATCGCATTGCTCGAGAAGAAGGCGTCTTGATGAATACAATACAATCGAAGGCTTTAATTGGAATTGGTTTCTACTTTCTTCTAGTTTCTTCTCGTTATTTCTGCGTGTTCCATAATTAATCTGTTTTATATATATATATATATATATGGTGTTTTTGATGGTTTATTTAGATTCTCTGTGTGATCAGTACAGGTGCTATAGGAGAGGTGCCAATATTGTTGGCAAAACCCCAGGCATATATGAATTTCAGTGGTGAATCGGTTAGTCTCTCTCTTCAGTTTATCCAATTAATTTGGTTTTGTTATTTGGTATGAACTTGGAGACCTTGCTAGTCTCTTTTGTGCTGCCGCGCCTGGAAATTTAGGGAATCAAAATAATCTTGTTTTGTGTTACTAGATAATTTAAGTATCTCTTTCCCTGTTAACCGGAAAAAGAAAGGAGAAGGATGGAAAGAAACAGAGCCTTGATGAGAATATGTTATTATCTGAATAATTATTAGTGTAGAGTGGAGACATTTGAACAGCATGTTAATATTTTATTTTAAGTTTTGATGAATAATCTGCTAGTGCATTTTAACTTGGAGTGACGATGAGGCAGAGTTGCAGTCGGGTTCCTCTCATACGCCTAACCACATTAGAAATATTCTCACCACAACTAAACTGAACCCCGTTTTGGAATATTCTCTCCTGCAGCTAGCTGGATCACTATACATAGCATCAAGAACTATCTACCCCTTCACCCACTTTGTTGGCTCCTCTTATCTTCCTGTGTCTTATGTAAATTAGGGTTTTTTTTTCTCTCAATGATATTAAGGTATTATGGGTTGTCTGGGTCCTTTGAAGGTATCACCTACCCCTGTCCACTCCACCTATCTTCCCTGCCTCACAAAAATCAGTTTTCTTTTTTTCCTTAATAATATTAAGGTAGTAGCGGCCTCTTAAGGTAATTTTCGACACATACGTATATCTCTATCTTGACTATTGGATCAACTGAAAAATAAAAGTGAACTTGTCATTCAGGGTTCATATGAGTGATTCTCTGGTTAGAGGACTATAGAGGTTTGATCTGCCTATAAATCATTCATTAAATACTTAGCTAGTTAACATTATTGATAACTTTTATGCATATCTCTATGTCTGAATTTCAATATTTCTCTCTCTTTCTTTGGTTTGACAAGTGAATTTCTTTTGTTCTTTACTTCTAGCTATGTCTGATATCATACTTGACTTCTTTTCTCATTTCAATGTTGATAAGGTTGGACCTCTTGCTGCACATTATCAAGTACCCTTGCGTCACATTTTATTGGTATGCATTTTTATGCCTTTTCCATGGCACAGTTCCAAGTTAACTGCATTTGAAGTAATTGTTGACAGTTTCACATGCATGTTTGTGGGATGTGCCCATGTAGATTTATGATGAGATGAACTTGCCAAATGGTGTTCTTAGGCTTCAACCAAAAGGAGGACATGGCTATCATAATGGGTACATATTCCTGCTGTCACTTGTAGAAAAGAGTGTGCATGAATCTTCAGATTTGATATACCTTTAATTTTTAAGAAATTCTTGTTATTCAAGGATAAATGATAGATCTCTGGATTGTTAACCCGTGCGTCAAGTTCATAGTCTCTCTCATATTTTAAATGAACAAGATGGTTGACCAAGCAGTATATCGGTGGATAAGTTCTGGCCCTCGTAAATTCTGCTTTTCATTCTCGAAATTATCCATGCTGTGAGTTATGCATCCTAAGGATTTTGTTTTTGGCCATATAAATCTCTATATTGTTGTTTTACAGTATTTATCAAATATGAATCTGCAGTCATGGAAAAACTTAAAGTCTGTTGTATAGCCTTTCTATTTCACGTTTTCTGGTTTGTTTGATTTGCATCTAGAGCTTCGAAAGATTGAAAGCTTTTCTGTTTTTCTGCTAAAATTTCACTCAGTATCCATTCAGACAAGTTAAGAATCCAGTCATTTTGGAGGTTGGGCATGGGGTTTGCTGCATCGTGCTACAAACTAATACCGATTTAGAAATGTTAGTAACTAGTGTCAAATGATATCTTCTTGCAGAGTGAAGAGTGTGATGGGCCATTTGGATGGTCGTCGTGAATTTCCCCGTTTGTGCATAGGTTCGTTTATTGGATGTCAGCACCTCCTGTTTTTGCCATTTGTCTTATGTTGTCAGGGAGGTAGAATTTGCTACCTCTGTAATTACTTCAGTACCTAGAATTCAGGAGATTTTATGTTGTCAGGCATTGGAAATCCACCTGGCTCCATGGACATGAAAGCTTTTCTTCTTCAGAAATTCAGTGCTTCAGAGAGAAAACAGGTAGGTGACTAGTGAAATTGTTGTGCTGGCACTCCTAATGCCGCAGCTGTATCTGACAATGCAGTGGCATTGGCATTCTGAGCAGCTAATCTTTCAGCAGGCACAGCAGACACTCTTTGTATTTTCGGATTGAACCACTTCTTCAGATGCCACTGGCTGAAATTAATTTATGTAGCCAATACCTTAGCTAATCGCGGAACAAAGGCTTATATGTGGTTGTTGATAACTTGAATTGTTGACTTCCTGGACAGATTGATGAAGCCCTGGAACAAGGTGTTGAAGCTGTTAAGACACTGGTGCTCAATGGATTCAACCACAGTATCTCTAGATTTAATTTAACACAGAAATACAAATATCACAAAGTCTGAATGCTGCGGAAAAATGGACACCAAGGTAGGACATATCTTTCTAAGTCTCAGAAACAAATGATCCAAGAGATGAAATTTCTTGCAACTTTCCAGGCGTTGCTGTGCGCATAGCATAACAACCTAGTTCCTCCCATGACAATTCTACCTTCTTCTTCTCTCCCCCAAACTTTTCAATTTCTGATTTTCTGAAAGAAATTTCAAACTTTTCTGGGTTTGGAAAGAGGAACCAAAAAACTTCTGTACTGTTCTTTTACCTGTAATCATTACCAACAGATGCCAATATCTCTTGTATGTTGAGTGTATCTCAACAGTATGAAAGATATTGTCTCCAACTGCCTATTTTATTGTTTCCTTGAGTGAAAAATTCCTACTTTAGTGAAATCTTATGGAAGGTTGATAATTTTTTTTTTTTTTTTTTTTTTTTTGCATGATCTCTAACAGGATACGAATTTATTTTAAACCAAAGTACCACTATTTATATATGATATAAATTCAGTGGTCTATAGGCATCAATCCATTCTTAAGTTTACTTGTTATTTTTATTTAGCTATGTCGAATGTGTCCAAGTCAATCTTTACATGACAATACTAAGTCCCTTTTTCTTTTTTTAATACGAGAATAGGCAAAAGCTAACGAAAACTAAGAGGTCGTCGTGTACATTCTGAATCAAAAAATTGTTGGATATTATTCGGTACTTGAATATGAAAATATAGACCCGTTGGTAGAGAGAAGTTATAGATTTACAAGAAATCTATACTTGGTCTACAAATCAATACTCTTTTTATCTTTTGTAATCTTCAATGCACATCTTAATCTTGGCTTTATTCATGTGCTTATTGCAGTACTAAACTGTTTATATACCCCTAATTAATACTAACGACAGATTAATGTAGGTTCACATTAGGAGCTTAATCTGATGCCATATGTAAAATACTCGAAGTTGCCGTCCCTGAAAAAGAAACCTCTTTTGTCAAAATCACAGCTACAAAGTCCATCCTTTTCATTTGAAGGGTAGAAGTCCTTTATAGTGTACTACTGCTAGGCCCATCACTGTAATCTTACGAAGATAGAATCAAGGGCCCATCATCACCGATGTGATCAAGATCATCGGTCCCTAAAGAATCCAATGTGACGGGACCCACTTCCCAAATATGAACGTTACAAGTAATTAAAAAAAAATTAAAAGTTGGAAGGGAGAGAAAAATCTCTGAGTGACGTTTCGGTTTCAGTCTTCCTTTTCTCTTCTCTTTTTATTAGACCGTTGCAGAATCAAATATTTTAAAGCCAACTATTAAGGAAACTACAGAAAATTTATTACTTCTCTCTCTCTCTCTGCAAAAGTTGGGAAAAAGAACTCGAGATTGATCATCAATGGCAGAGATAGAAGGTTATCTGCAATCAAATCCAACTGTTCAACCACTACTTCATTGCCTTGACCCCATATCTCTAATCCTCTCTCAGAACTCCAGTCCAAATGAACCTGTTCCCTTGAGACTCACTGCGGAGAGTTGTTACATCATGGAGAGAGGACCCAGATACGGATTGTACGCGAAACTGAGAGAATCAAGGCTTAGAATGAAGATCAACAATGGCATGAGGCAACAACGAGAACGTTTTGGAGAATACGAGGAAGTGAAAGAAAGGGAATCAAAGCAAAGTCCGGTGAAGAAACAAGTGAAATTCAGTGGGAATTTGGGTAGTACGCGTAAAGGGTCATCTGTTTTGGCTCAATCGGTGCCTGATTTTTCTGCAACTCTGCGGAAAGAAAACCGGAAACCCCCGAGTATGCTTCCCTCGCTGATGGAATTGACTCCTCCATCAAAGAACGGGGCCAAAGGGAATAGTAATAACAATGGGGTTTTGTCGAATTTGTCGATGAAAGGGAGTAAGTCCGCGAGTGCCGGGGAGAAAAGAGGAGGAGGGTTGATGAGAAAAAGCTACGCAACCATGGAGGATTTGAAAAAAGTATCAATGGCTGCAACAAATGCTATCAACTGTGAAAACAGGGGAAGGAGGAGCGGTAGAACAGGGGTTGCTGGTAATAAGACTGTTTTGGGGTATAGACAGTTCTGAGATTTTTCTTTTGCGCACTTGGGTTGTTGCATTTAAGATTTCTTAATCATTTCATTTGATTTGTTCTTTCTTTTTCCTCTTTCTCGGTTGATTTTCCTGAGGATTTGGTTTGATGATGTGATCTTTATTTCCCCAATTCTAAGGGGGTAATAAGGGAGGTTTAATTGATGGGTTGGTTTGTTAGCGTGTTAATGACAGTTTGTAAAAAGCTTTTTGGATGTAATCATGTTTTACATCTCATTATATGATATGATTCTCAGAAGGTTTTTGGATTGATATGTTCTCTGTTTATGAGGGTTTACAAAGTATAAACTGCAAATTTAACCTTTTGTTTTTGTAATTAATTCCTAAATTTTTATCTTTGAGTAATATAATCATCACAAACCACCATTGCTGTTTGGTGGAATGTTTGTTTTATTGAGATTTTTCCCCTGTAATTTCAATAAATTATTATACCAATTTTCCAAACATATATGAACTTTACAATGTTAAAAGAAAATAACAAAGTCAAAAAGAAAATAGCATATGATCAGGTGAAACCTAAAATTTAAGAAAAATTTAAACTTTACAATGTTGTTAGCCATATAATGAACATTCAGACTTGTTAGTGAATCATTCAGATACCATCCACCAATTTGTACAAAGATACAACTTGCTTGGACATCATATATGGCTATGATAGGATAAACAAAACAAAGGCCTCCCCAAAATTCAGAGGGAATCCTGCTTGCATTCCCAGAGATCTATCACAACTTCCTCAACCAAAATTTGAAGTATGTCCGTGCCAATGTGGGCACCGGCTTCGAATGCTTCAATCTCAAAATCTGTCCACTTTCCCAAGAAATGACTCATCTCCCACTCTATTAATTCATCGGGTGCCATTCCAGCCAACTTTCTCCACCTACTAACCTCGGCTCCAACCTCCCGTATTAGCATCTCGGTGTTCATGCATAATTGCAATTTTCTCCATGCTTCGAACCCCAAGTTACAGTATCTACCATATTGGGAATCTAAATATTCTATTGTACTGTCGAAAAGAAATCCCCTAAGTTGATTACTTTGGTTAGTCTCTTCGAAACCAGGGAGACAGTTGAAATCTGTCCAAATGGCACCAGCAAGAATTTCAAGTTCATCGAGGAGAAAGGGACCAATGAGGAAAAACCTCGTTCCATGTGAACTTCGTGGAGTCACTTTTCCAAACAACAGTTCGGCATTCAATATAACCTCCTTCGCATGCGTATGCTTCATTCCAGATATTCCAAGATCTGCAAGATTAATCCTGCTGAAGATGCTTGAAATTTGGTTGACAAGATAAACAATCTCGTAGCAAGCCTGCCCTGTATTCAATGAGGATGCAGAATCCAGAAGATCTGTATCAGGTTCTCTTAGCTGTGGCTGATAGTAGGAGCTATTCCCGGAGTCAAGATGCAGCCTCTGCCCTGGAAACCATACAGTTAAAAAAATGGTAAACAGATGAGAAAATTAGCCTGTAAAGTATCTTTAAATTTTCTGTTGAATGAATGTCTCTTTTAATTTTCTTTACAAAATTAGTATTACCATCCGATTACCAAATATCAACGTAGGGAACTGTTACAAGACAAATTATAGGATTTTAGTTCGAAATAAGCCAAAACACAAGGGGTGATGCTGTGATTTATCCTAAAAAAATTATTAGCAATAATTATTAGAAACAGGTGAATTCCATCAAAGTACATTTCCAAAATTATGTAACAGAAGTTCTGTACCTGAGCTATCCTCAAGACTGCTGGAAAAGCAGCTATCATTTGAGAATGAAGCTTCAAGAACTGAACCGGGGCTGAGATGATCACTGTCATTCACGAACGCTGTTGAACTCCCTTCAGTCTTTCCTTTGGTCTGAGAAAATCAACATATGTAATTGTTACAATGACATGGTTTCATTCGTGAACAGAAAAGATAACCAACAAGAGCTGTTGTGTTCTGTTTTTTTTTTTTGGCAAGTTTCAGCTGGTCTTTAACTGGGAAATAGATATATGCAAGAGGCACAATAAACCTTTATAATTCAAGAGCAAATTATGCAGGACACAAGTATGTATCTGATAGAGCCAAAGAATGACTTTCCTCAACATCAAATGCACTGGCACATGTCTACTGCATGTTTGTCAAGAATAGGTACTTTGGCATACTGTAAGAAAGGTTTGTGGTGGTAATTCCAGTTTGCGAAAGTTGTTTTACTACTTGATCGAAAGCCTCAACTGCTGTAGTTAGGGGCAAAGTCCAGACCAAATTAAGACACAAGGTGTTTCGGGTTATGAAAAGAGATGTACTTTAGATTAGAAAAAACAAAAAAAGACAACATTTATTCTTTCTTGATGTTGGAAAATAAATAAATGGATAAATGAAAATAGGAGGGTAAATAGGAAACACAATGTTCAAAATGTTAATAAGTGTTCTTTTTTCTATTTCTTCTGCCCATGAAAACATAAAATATGCATCCTACTTGTTGGATTACCAAACAGATAGAATAATTGGAATGCTTGAAGCTGCTTTTTACTTAAATCTAGATTCTCTATTAATTCAATAAAGTGCAAGAATCATAACCAACAAGGGAAGAGGATGAAACCAACCTGACGAGCCATATCTCTATCAGACACACGACCATCCTGAAAAACAGACTGCTCAGCAGTTAATGCAGATATTAGCTCTTGGAGAATCATAGCTGTTGATCTCTTTGGCAGAGTACCTTCTGTTGTCATCTCATCTGCTTCTTGAGAAGTTAACTCCTCCAGTTTCTGCTCCAGAAGAGCACCCAAAGCATCTCCTTTCAATGGCAATTGTTTCCAAAGAGAAGCCTTCCCATCTTTCTCATTCGACATTAACTTTCTTTGATCAGGAATATTTCTGGAGACGAAATGGTTCTGATTCTTCCTTCTATCCTTCAAGTCTGTGCAAATTCCAGTCGTCTCCCTCAGCGGGGAATTAAATGTGAATGAAAAAACATTGCCATTAACTCTACTCCCTTCACCCTGGCTAGATATTTTGCTTTTGCTACAAGCTCGCTCCATTGAGCGGGCACTAATGCTCATTTCTTTTCCAACACCTACTTCACCCTTTGCAGTTCTTTGTTTCCCTGACAGTGGACTGAGATAACCACTGCTATCAACTTGGCTGTTTATGCTTGTCCTTCTCTTTCGCACTGGAGACCTGGATGGTGCTAAGGAATCTTCTTGCCTGTTACAAGATTTTCTCTCCATGTCAAAATTAGAATTATCCACTTTAGGCACCCTTGGGCGGGTTCGGCCACTTAAGCTTCGATTCAAGGCAACAAAATCTTTGGCCCCAATAGTACAGACAGTTGATGGGGCTCTCTTGCTTTCGAAATGGCTGAATTTGGCCTTACTGGTGGTTCTATCCCTACTTAATGACATCTGATCATGAGCTTGAGTCCTACCTTTGAAACTCGAAGTTGATGGTTCATCTTTGTGATGTCTAACATGCTGGCTTGTTGAATTTGATGGTGCTGGAGCTTCTCGAGATACAAACTTCCTTTCTGGAGCAGCTCCATTGCTTGAGTGCATATTGTCATCTTCTTGAATCGCAAAAGATTCAGATTGGTCCCAGCTTCTCTGAGAAGTTACATTTCTTTCGTGATCAAGGGACGACATGAAATGCTTCAGCTTATTTTTTACCTGTTCCTTAGGTGAGGCAGTAATTGAATCTGGGACAGAAGATGGATACCCGAAAGGTAGGTCCTCTTCATCTGGCACTGAATCCACAACATCGACCAAATTACCACAGTTTTTGCAAGGAGTCTGGGCTAACAAAGACTTGCTGGCAGTCACATTATAACCAGATTGTTTTACTTCATCAGGTGACATAACTCCTGCCCCTTCTGACATAAGCTCTTTCTTAGACAAAATTTGCATAGAACTTGCATAAGGAAGAGCAGATTTTGCACGATTTGTGGCTTGCAACCCTGGTTCCAAAATCTTAGTGGCCGCATCAATCAACCTAGAGGTCCTATTCATCCTTGCAGAGGAAATCCTAGGACTCTTTAATGGTGAAGCTAGTTTTGGATGATGATGATGCTTTCTTGTCCGAGACAAAACACTCTTAATCTGCAATGCATCGGTCCCAAACCTCACCGCTACCCGTCTATCAGACATCCCTGTCTTCTGAATCTTTTGAGGCCTGGATTCAAGCTTGCCATTTCCAATTTCCAAACTCAAATCTTCTTCCCTATGAAACATGCTCTGACTATTCATTAACCTCTCTTCTCTAGCATCATGATTATCGGATAATAATGAAGCTTTCCTGGGTTTATCTCGTAGTGCTGGCATAGATTCAAGACCCATCAGCCTAGCAACTAAACCAGGAGCTCGCATTTCATGCTTTTGCTCCTTATCTACACTAGTCCGGCTACTGTTCTTCTTTACATTCGGGAAACCCCCACTGTTCTCATCAGCAATCTACCATTTTCCACATACAAAATAAACAGACCCAGATATTAAACTTCAATTATAAGATACAGAAGATTCAAACAAGAGAAGAAAATCAAATAACAAGAATTTGCAATGAGAAGATATATAGATTACCAAGTGAAGCTTGGATTTTGGCATCTTCTCATCTCCTCCAAACTTCTTCGAAGCTTTCTTCGCTCGAGCTGGGACAACATTGCAAACGAGATAAACACACATTGTTGATTAAGTGAGAATTTTTTGTTACATTTTCGAAAGAGATTCAGAGAAAGAGAGAGGACTAACCAGGAGGAAGCAATTTCCTAGAAAAGAGCTTCTTCTTAGCAAATCTTCGATTCCAGTCAAAGAGCTGGAAGAAAATGCCGACACAACCACCAGGTCTGTGAGGCCGCTTCTCCGTTATCGCCAAACCCGACGCCGTTTTCCCCGTCGTATCATTCATCTTGCCAACCAGCAACAGCACAGAACAAAAAGAAAAAAAAAAAATCTCCCAGCAAACCCTAAGATAAACTCACCCAGGTCCTCAAAAATTAGATCTCTCAAAAAATCTCCATAAACCCATTATACAATAACCAAAAAACCGAAGCAAAGTTCCTTCTTTCAAGGGCTAAAACCAGAATGCAAGCGGAGTAGCAGAGTGCAGTAGAGAGAAAAAGAGTGGTACAATAATGGAGCGAGTAAGATCAAATAGGTGGTGAAAGATGACTCGCAAAAACACAGAAAAGGACAGCAGAAGGAGGGGAGCAAAACGACGGAAATCACACAGTAGAAGAGACTGCAAAAAGAGAAGCAAAGAAAGGGAAGAGAGAGTACTGACTTGTGTTGGTAGCAGCGAAAACAGAGATATAATTTTATACTCGTTGTTTTTGATTATCTACACGTACTCACGCAAGGTGAAATGATTCGATTGAAAAAGATCAAATGAAGAACATGAAAAGCGAAGGGAAAAAAGAAAAGGAGAAGAAAAAGAGAAGGAATCATGTGAAAGGACATTGTCAGGGAGGAAATGAAGCTCGAGGGAGTGGCATTTTGGGTAGTCAAATAGGTGTAGCAAACAAAAAGAGAGAGAAAGAGGTTGATACGTCGTCGTTCTCCCTCCCTCCCTCTCTCTCACTCTCTCTCTCTCTCTCTCTCTCTCTCTCTGGTAGTGAAAAGGGCTGGAGAGAGAGTACAGTTCTGCAGAGAGTGCTGCAGAAATGGTGAAAGAGAAGGCACGCGCAGTTGCGTTCTGGTCAAAGCTGAAGATTATAAAAAATTAAAACTTTCTTGGCCATGCATACGTGGGAAAATAATTTATATCCTTTTAATAATATATTAATATTATTTTTTGAAAAATAAAAGAGTATTATTATAATTAAATAATTTAAAAATATATTCTTCTTGACTTTTTTATGTATTAATTACGTAATTATATATTGAACAATAAAATTATGATAATTTAATATTGTCGGAAAATTATAAATTTATAATTTAATAATGACGTGGAAAAACGACGAAGACAGCGAGTTGGGAAACAGTAGCCTTGTGGTTGGTTGTGTCGCGAGCCGTCGGGTCTACGTCTTGTCTGAAATCGCGCGCTGTCACCGACGTGCGCTCATAATTTCGACGTCCGTATACCCACGCGCAGCGAAATCACCATTTCCTATACTCGCTCTCTCGAGCCGACACGTTACAATCTTCAAAAAATTAAAAAAAAAATAGAATTAAATAAATAAATATACAAATCTAGTTCATAGTTTATATGTTTTAACCATAATTAAACTCACTTTAATCGTATTCTTAAAAACGTATAATGATATATATATATATCTATATATATGAATTCCCATTATTTAAAAAAATATATATTAATGTTAAAATATAATATTATAATTCTAAATTTTTATTATGTCATGGTTTCCACCCCCACAAAATTAAATTTTTTAAATTGTTTAATAAATTAATGAGGATTATAGTGAAGAGAAAATAAATTTTTTTGAGTTTTTTTTTTTTTTTTTAAATTTAGGAACTAGCAAATGTTGTTCACATTTGAGACTATCTTTTCAATTTTCAATAAATAAATTAAAAATTCATTTAAAAAATATATATATATATACATACATACATGTATATATTAAACATTTAATTAAATTTTAGTATAATAATTTAATTATTTGATATTATTATCCAATCCAATTAGACTTTTACTTTGTCATGATATCACATAAACCCATAATAATTAAAGGGTTGAATTTGAGTCAAAATCAAATTACTCATTGATAATACAAATTATTGGTTGAAAATTTTTTCAAGTTTTGATTTTGAGTGATGGGGAACAAACCATGTGAATTTTTTAATTTCTTATAACCAAAAGTTCATTGCAAACTTCAAAATCTAATTAATGCTTTTATACCCACAAAGTTTGGAGATATAAAGGTTGAATATTTGTTTATATGGAGTATGTATTTTGATAATGCTCATATTATGAACCACTATTGTTTGTATATATAATATTCACTTAAAAATTTAGTCAAAAGTTGATAGATAATTAAAGCGATATCGAGATTGTTTTCGTTATAAAAATATTTTAAACTGTTTTATTTATTTTTATAAATAATTTTAAGTATTATAATTTAATATTTATAATTTTAAAAATATAAAAGAATAAACTCATTAGGAACTTAACTTTTATATATTTCGTTTAAGAGAATTATAAACTCTTAAATTAGAATTATAAAAATTATGCTGAATAAAAAAAGATTAATATTAATAATATAAATTTCGCTCAAAAGAGATATATTCATATATGTTATATAATTTCGTAATTAAGTTATATAAAATTTTAAATTTTTATCTACGATAAAAATTTAAAATTTACGATAAAAATTATTTAAAATAATATTATATTTAAAATTAAATTATATTTTATTTATAAATAATACTTAAATTTTTCGGCATCTAATCGAAGAGAGAAATTAAGGAAGACATAAGTTATCAAATAAATTAGATACATGATGCATAAAATGATATTATATGAATTTGAACAACGATAAACGATGAATTAACATGCGATACAAAACAAAATTCACTTGTCAAATTAGTTAGGTATACGATGTATACACCATCATATGATAGAAATAACTTAATTAGCACTTTAATTATTAGTAACCCATGTAGAAAGTATGGATTTTAGTGAATATATATATATATATATGCATATATGAGTTACTAATGATACATAATCATCATCAAGATCATGATAGATTACAAGGTAGAGATGGTTTAGGGTTTAGGGTTTAGGATCTAGAGTTTAAGGAAGGGAAGATGATGTATTTATAGTTAAAGAAGAAGAAGAAGAAGAAGAGGAGGCAGGTGGATTTTGTCTCCTTGTTTAAACATGAGAGAGGAAGCCAAGTGAAGTTTCATGATAGCCAAAATGGTCTTTAGCCACTTTCAGAAACCTAGGAGAATGTGATGTAAAACTCTCTGGATTGGCTCATCACTCTATGCAATCTTCACGCCTGAAACTTCAATTCATCAATATTACTATTCTTTTATTTATATATGTGTAGGTATCTGTGTTTGTATGTATATATATACACTTTTTTAAATATAATATATATATATATATATACACACACACATGCACACAGTATGGTAATCATTGTACAACCCTAAAAATCTTTGCAACAATCATCCTATATATGTACTTGGATTTCACTTATTCTTTTTTGGCTTTTGAGTTATATATATATATATATATATATATACCTTTTAATCCTTATGGGTTTAGATTATATCTTTTCAAAGTTTTGTTAGTTTTAACATTTTGCTTATATACATGACACTATTACTGAAAAATAATGGTAAAACATATATGACAATATTTTAAAGTAGTATTAATATTTTTTTTTTTTTGAGAAATACCAACTATTTATTGATCAAAAGGGAAAAAGAGTGGTAAAACATATATGATCAAGCTTGTAGATGTTTTAGATTGTCTGTGTTTGTAATCTCATACATATATATATATATATATATGTGTGTGTGTGTGTATATGGAGGATGTTTTTCATTTCATCCAAACAAAGAAAGAAAGCAGAGCAGAAGAGAATGTAACAGGCATGTAACCAGAAATGTTTGGTTACCGAGAAAATCATGAAAAGAGGGTAGGAAATATAAAATAGAATCCAAACAAACCCATTTATAATTATCTTTTCTTCTTCTTGATACTGGCCGCAAAGAAGCCTAAACAAAATATATTGGCTAAAGGGACATTCAAGATAGAACCATTTACAGCTTGATGAACAACATGACCATTTCCACTGTACTTCTGGTTACTACCCATCTTCTTCTTCTTCTTCTTCTTCAGTTTATGCTTCTTGGAATTATTCTTTGATGTCTGCGGAAACCCAATAGATTTGCTTCTTGATAAAACTGGCAGAGAACACAAGCTTCTTCCATGGCCGCCGACGCAACTGTTCAAGCTACAACTCCTCTTGAACCAGCTCCTCTTCTCCTTAAACCTCTCCTGCTTGTCTGAAAGTTGACGAGAATTACTATTAATACCATCAAGAAACAAACATGGTTGTGGCGACGCTGGCGGCGGCGGCAAGGAGGTTCGTTCTTGATCGGCGGAGGAGGAATTGTTCTTGATGCCCAGAGGAATAATTTTTCCGTTCAAGAAAATCTCGTCGGCCGGCGACAGATCTGGACTGAAGTTCTTGAAAATGCAAAAGTCGAACTCGGCTGTTGAATCTAACGGCGAGGAGTTTTTGCGCAGAGGGATTAGCTGTTCTACTGGGAGGGTTTCCGATTGGAGAAGACAATAAGAAAATGAGATTCTTGGACTGACGATGGTGAGATTTTCCGAGCATAGCTCAATAGCCATATTGCCAAATTATTTTCCCGAGAAAATTGTAAGTTGTTGGGTTTTATAGAAGAGAAAATGTTTGGAGTACTCAAAAATCCAAATCTAACATGGAGGCTGGAATTTATTTATTTAAAAAAAATGGAAGCTTCAATTGCATTTTCTGAATTAGTATATATATATATATATATATATCTGAAGATCTCTAATATAATTAAATAAATAATTAAAATTTTAAATTTTAAACCAAATTGGAGGAAAAGATTAAATCTTTATATGCAAATAATTGGGATTTGATTATTGTTAATTACCTCCTTAATTTTATGGGTTGGCAGAGAAGGTGTTCAATAATGTGAAGAGAATACACAGTGATGATCATAAGCTGATCTCACATTATATTATATTATATTATATATATATATATATATATATAATATGTATGTATCACCTGCCTGTAAAGACATTTTGGTGGTTATAAAAAATTATACTGGATCTACATATCACTTTATGGACAAAAAAGAATTAGGTGGCTGAATTTTATTACTGCCTGGCATGTTCCATTTGTTTATCTTTTTTTTGGCACACCTTTATTTACTTCTTTATATCATACATACATATATATGTATATGTGTACATATATATATATATGGGTATCTCCTAAATTGACCTGCTGATTATTAGACATTAGCAATCTATTGTTCTTAGTTTCTTTCTTTATTCTACAGTGACAGCTATCTTCTCTGTAGTTCATCCATACTATAACCTATTTATAATACTCTATGTACGCGAGTAAACGACACTGAGAATCTGGTTTCGTTGTGTTCATCACTGAGTTCTTATTTTATAAGAGATCGTAAGTTCGAATCAAATTATTTGTTTCGATTGTTAATATTTTTGTATATAATTATTAGAAATTTGGATTATATTTTTGTATACAGCAGACACAAGAGTTAGACCAAACAGTATTATAAGTATATTATAACCAAGTTCATACCTTGAATAAATACACCTAAAAATTATTACAAAGTTAGACTCCTGTCTTGTCTTCACCCTCCATTGACAATTTTCTTGAGTAATTCAACAACAATGTATATAATATATATGTATATGTATATATGTATATATAATATTCAGTTGAAACCAGTTGCAGTATTTTAGCAGGGTGTGGTCACTCATAATTGTTGTGGTGTAGAGATTTGTTAGTCATCAATGGCAGGCAAATTTGGTGGTGGAGTGTTCTGCTTTAGAGTCAAACAGTTGGGTTTGTTGTTGTTGTGCGAGTTGAAATTTTTAGGAGAGAATTATTTGACGTCATCTCAGGATAATTGGTAATTATCATTATTTTTGTTTATTTATATTTTAATTTTTTTTTAAGCCAGTAAAAGATGTATTTTGGAGATTTGAGACTAAAAATTGTATTACAAATGGGAAATAATTATTGTATGTATGTATGCATATATATATATATATATATATAGTTTCAGCTGTCCATAGCCCTTTTTTTTCGGGAAGTATTAATATATATTGTTAGTAGTAGGTGTAAGTCAACAGAGGGGTGGTGGCGCAGTTGGCTAGCGCGTAGGTCTCATAGCTATAGAGAAATCCTGAGGTCGAGAGTTCGAGCCTCTCTCACCCCAAAATGTTTTTCTTTTTAATTAATGTGTAAATTTTCTCTATATTTTTGAAGAAATAAAGCCGATAATGATAATTTTGTTTGTAACTTACCCCTAATCTGATTTAATTCATAAAATTTTAATTATAAATTATATAGTTGAGGTATAACTAAACTAAGTCTCTGTGCATATCTCCAATTCAATATTCTATTCATTTTTACTAACTCATTGGGAGAAATCCAAATATCAATATTTCAAAAATAATGAATTATTGAAGTTCTCTTTTTAAGTTAAGAATCTCAATTTATAGTGTTCAACACAAAATATATATATATATATATATATATACATATGGTAAGTTAATTGTAGGCTAGAATTAGCTCAAATAAATAGATGAGTTATAGATGACTATAACACATCTAATTGATGGATGGATGGATGAGTAAGTCTTCTTCGTGTACCTAAACTGTCACTGCAGCAGACATGCGAAGGACACAGAAATAAGCAGAAAATTGTACAGGAAGGAGACAACCCATAAAATTCGTACAGAAATTCACTGAAAACGTTCTATAGCAAAACTGAGAAGTAGCTGTAGATGATAACATGAAATAATATTCATCAATTGGTATGTAATGTTACAAGCAATTTGCTTTGAAGGTTTGCAAATAGCCATTTGGCGCACTGCTGCTGCACACAGCAGTTGTCTGGTCAGCAAAAACCCTAAAATAGTATTTTCCACTGTGCAAAAACTGGAAACCTCTGTTTGCATAATCGTCGTCTCTGGTGGAGTATTCTATCCGGAAAAAAAAAAATCGTAGAACAGACTGCCATCCAACTTTGTCTCGGCCTGAGCCTGAACAAATAGCATCAACACTTGTTCTCCATAGAGTCATTGCTACTGGTAACTAAATTTGGCTTGGGTTTACTCTGTCGGCCATCCATGGAGTTTAGACACGCTTCTTTTTATCTAAATTAGCTGCCGCCACCTGTTGTCGTTTCCTCCAAGCTGGAACCTTACCGGGAAAAACCCATCTCAAAAATCTCTCCCACGTGTAGCAGCATAAAAACATGAGCAGGGCCCAGATCAACAGCTTATCCCGCAAACCACCAGGCAAAGGCACCAACTTTAGCCAGTCATTCAGGTCCCTAAATAGATCAGAAGTTATCACAGTGAAGAAACCAACAGCAGCCAAAAGAGCATATAAGAATGGTTTGTTCTCTGAAATACTCTGGTTGAAGGGATGGCCCATGTAGTTTACAGCAAATGTCGCTACCTGAAGCATCATGCTCACCATGTATGAAACTGTGTTTACCAAATTAGGATGAAAATCAGAGTCGGGTTCAATACATTCATCAGGCATGTACTTTTCAGCTTCATTCACTGCAGACATCAAGAAACACAGGTGGATTGCAAACTGTCCCATGAGGGAAAGGAAGACATATGAGCAGAAGACATTAGGGTGGGGTCGAGTAGCAGAGAGGGTGGGAAGAGGACGTGCATGTGAGATAAACAGGAAAAAGGCAGCCGTGAATACACCACTTATTGTTGCCTGGATATCACCCAGCTTTACACCGTCCAAGTACATAACACTCAATACATAGGCTGTAGCAAGGCAGTTAAGCCCAAGAATCTTGAACATCTGGAGTGTAGTCACTAGCGTACTACGACCCTGCCGAATTATGTCTGTGGTGGGGGCAACTGATGCATGCTTTGCTGTGAATGGTGATGCCATTGAAGCATCTCCAAGTTTAACAATGGGAGCTGCGTGACCATCACCTTCCTCATTTAGTTCATCCATCATCTTCTTCAACTTCTCTCTTCTCATCTCTACAGCAGTCAAATGACGGTTCGTAGCCGAGTGGCTGGTAGCAACTTTTCCCTTAGAAGAGCCTCCTTCTCCATTTTGACTAACAGCTTTGCCAGCTGATTCTATAGTTGGTTTAGATTTCTTCGATTTCACAGACTTCGTACTTTCATCTTTAGATGACTCTGATGAAGAGCTTCCACTTTGAGTAGGAGGCGCTGCATTCAATAATGCGACTCCTACATGGGCCTGAATAATACAAAAGCATCACATTAAACGTGAAAAACGAGGGCCAATATATGTCTCTGAGTAATGAAGCTTCAGTTTACTAAATACACGTGCAAAAGCTAGACATTCAGTGGCAATGAAGGCACCCATAGACATGAACACTTCCAAACAAAGTATTTGACATACAGAAATTACATATAATCTGACTTCTTAGAAAATGGTCAAACCTATATAAGCATAGGCTATTGGAAGTTATCTCTATCATTAACTCTCTTCAAAGAAACTACAAGAATACTCTCAATTTAATCCTAATCTAATTAGAACCACAAACTCTAATGAAAAACTTCAAAGAATTTTGGCCATAAACAAAACCCAACATTAATAAAAAGAAATTACAACAAATCTAATTATTATTCATCGAGTGCTGTGCTTTATGAAACTCCCTTGGTGGGGAAACTTGAAAATATCTAGTTGACAATATAGGATTAGGATTTGCAGGTGGAGTGTGCTAGAATATGAAAAATAAAGTTTAACCTTAACTTTCAGTTTAAGCTTTTAGAATATTTAACCATCTAATTCAACTATTCACAAGACCAACTAAGGTCGGACGGATTGGAGATAAGCTTCCTGCTTGCAGCATTAAGAGTTGAACCTAGATAAACATGACAGAAATAAGATGCTGCCAATTCTCTCAATCATTGTATTCTCTCGGGAAAGATACAGAGGTAATTACAGAATCTACGGCTCATTTTGATCCATGAAAATTTTTTTAGTATTCATTTCTTAAATTCGATGTATTTATATTATACAAATTAATAAAATATGAACAGAGATAAATGTATGTGCAGCACTCAACTATGGATAAAAATAGTTTATTTCTTCTGTAGAAAGCAGGTTGTTTTCTGGAATAGATTAAAAACAACTATTTTTTTCCCATTCAAACATGTACGAAAATATAGAAAAATATAAACTAAAACCAAATTCTGATGTACCAAATGAAAACAACTTTTGATTCTATTCAAACATGTGCCACATTTTTAGTCCATTTTGCAAACATTTGTTTTTATTGTCAGATATCACATAACTTTTTATGTATAACTTATTTTCATGTACCAAATGAAGTCTAATTTCATCCTTGATCAAATTAGAACTATGAACTTAACAGAAAACTCAAAAGAACATAAACCATAATAAATCCTAACATTACTAGAAAGAATTTCGCGGAGTAGAAAATAATAATGTAGTGGTATGCCCTTAATATTACCTGCTTCAGAGCTCCAACGTCATTCGTTCCATCCCCGCACATCAGAGTTATCCTTCCCACAATTTTGAAAGTAGTTAAGATTAGCTCCTTTTGTGCAGGAGCAACTCTTGCAAAAACCTAAGATGATGAATGAGATAATCTTATAATTGAAGACATTAGCTAAGCCCAAAGTTAAAACATGTAGTTTAGGCTGTTACCTTAACATATGGAATGACCCGTACAACAGCAGAAGTATTCTGTAACATCTCAATGCAATCACCTCCAATACATAAATCATGAGTCTCAGCAAGGGCTTCAACTTCTTTTACACTGAAACAGAAAAAGACTATGTTAGTACTTCGAGAAAATCCATGGATAGTTTTTATGAAAAAAGCAGGGAAGGTGGAAATGAAAAGAAGCTATCAGCTTAAGGACCTCTTTTAGCTCAACAAATAGCATCAAAACAACTAAGTGGAGTAACACAGAAGCATTTCAACCAAAAAGGAATAAGACCCAATAAAAACAGGAAAAGAGAGAATTATTTGATCACAATATTACTTGTAGCGCATTATCTCTGTCTCATCTGGTGACATCCACTCATAGCCTTCACCATTATGTGACAGATAAAGAATTAGTGCTGGCTTTGATACAATATGAACTTGGCTAGCAACATGGCAAGCTGTCAAAGCTTGATCACCAGTGATCATTACCTAGTCCCAAGGAAACAAACATTTTTTGGTAAAGATTGTTAGCTTTTAACCAAAAACAAAAAAATTAGTATCCCACAAAATGATTAGAATGGAATTGGAAATGAAGAATATCAAGGTTTTTCTCATGAATACAAGTTTATCTGGTTTGTAAAGGAATTGGAAAGACTATTCTATGTCGAGGCCTTCTTGTTCCCTTTTCTTTTCATGTTTATGAGAAAAACTGATGCATAATGGGAATATTCTAAAATATACATATTTTAATATTACAAGATAGTTACGTAATTATAAGATTTATGTATTACTAAGAATATTTATGTTTTAGCAACTATTAAGAATAGACATAAAATTAATTTAGGATTTTATCTACTATCTGCTTAAAAGTCTTATTTTGCTTTGGTTTCTTGAAATCAAGGAATTGGGAAAGCTAAAGTACTTCCTGGGGATTAAAAATAACTCATTCAAAATAAAAAATCTTCATCTCACTGTAAAAATACATAAATGATTTGTTAAAAGATACAGGTAAACTAGCATATAAACTAGCTAGTATATTTATTGACCCCAATCATAAGTTGGGACCAGTGAAAGATGATATAGAAATAGATAAAGGAACATACCAAAGACTAGTTAGGAGGTTGATTTACCTATCACATACAATACCTAATATTGCCTATGCAGTGAGTGTGATAAGTCAGCCCATATACAACCCTAAAGAGGTGCATCTATAGATAGTCTATAGAATACTACACTACCTAAAGGAGACACAAGGGAAGGCATAATGGTTAAAAGAATTAAAAATTAATTCTTGAAACTTACACTGGTGCAAACTATACAGGATTAATGGTGCATGATAAATCTACTATAGTTACTGTACCTACCTTCCTTAGGGATAACTTGATCACTTGAAAGAGTAAAAATTTGAATGTAATTGCAAGATCAAGCACAGAGCCAGAATTTTGAACAATCACACAAGGAATACGTAAGTTGCTATGATTGAAAAGATTCCTGAAAGTTTTAAGAGTCAAGTGGAATGACCCATGCACTTTTACTGTGACAACAACAAATCGGCAATAATCATTGTTCATAATCCTGTACAGCATGACAAGACAAAACACATTGAAGTTGATAAGCATTTCATCAAGGAGAAACTAGATAGTGGCCTCATATGTATTCCCTCAGTGCCCAACAAATTACAACTTCCAGATTTGTTATTAAAGATTTGAGCAGTTCGGCATTCTAGACTACTATTAGAATGTTTTGGACGACCCCTCCGCATGCACACTTCTCTTTAACTGTCCTCAATGCACATGCGGTCTGCAAATTCTGGTTGGAACAGTGGGAACGAAATCTTTTGCTGAGGTGCTGAAAGCGGACCACGCGTCACCATTCCAGGTAGAGAAAAAGGGATCTGACCCGGTCTTTTCAAAATTCAAAATTCAAATTAGTGACCAGTTTCCTGTGCTAAGCGGGAGAAAAGCCCAATACGAATAGGCCCAAACCCACTAGGGCTGAAAAAGGAAAATGGATTGATCATGTGGGAACGAGCAAGGAAGCCCGGAAAATTCTCGGGACCAAGGCTAGAGGCCCAAAGTTTAAAACAAGGAGCCCAAAGGTTAAACGGAGACCCAAACAAACCAACCCAACCCAAGACTTGGACCCTAAAGTGCTGAACAAGCCAGTTTCGGAGGGTCCTTCACCAGTCACACCCATAGCGTCGAAGTTGTGCCCTAATAGTGGTGATGGTAAAGATATGGCTGTGCTCTGCTCTGAGATAAGGTACATAGATTCTATCCCCTATCATGAGTTTTCTTTAAATTCTGATCTCTTCCAAGATGTTGACTGTCCGGCTACTGGGTCTGTTGTTCCTCTTGAGGTGTTGTCTCCGAATGATGAGGCTGATAGCCTTTGCATTTTGGCTATTAATGAAGAGCCTGATTCTTCTCCTTCTCCCATATCTTCTGAAATGACGTTGATTATTCAGCTGATTAGTGTGTCTGCTGAGTGGAGTGAAGCTCAGATACATTCCTCCTGGGTTATTCAGAATATAAGAGCTATTAGCCAAATGCTTGGTGTCTCATATGACGGGTTTGAAGACAGAGCTTTAGCTCTGTTTGCTGAGCTGGATAGAAGAAATGCTCAGAAGACTGAGACGAGTCCCCAGACAAACAAAGGAAAGAAGAAGCAGCAAGTTGGGGGTTCAAGGGAATTGAAACAACTCCAGTGCTCTATAAACTACGACAGAATCGAAGGTCATACAGAGGGAGCTAATGCAATTCTTCAGTGCATCAAAGATAGAAAAAACTATATCATGGAATGTTCGGGGTCTCAATGACCCAGGTAAAAGGAACACTATTAGAGGGTGTCTGGCCAGATGGAAACCAACGATTGTCTGCTTTCAAGAAACCAAAATTCAGGAGGTTACTGAGAAAATCATTAGCAGTCTGTGGAATGTGAACTCTATTGGCTGGGTTTCTAGTCCGGCTAGGGGTAATGCTGGGGGCATTTTGGTTATGTGGAATAAAAATGTTATTGATTGCAAAGATATGCTCCTGGGGGAAATTACCGCATCATGCTTATTTAACAAGTCTATTACAGATTCTGATTGGTTCTTCACTGGTGTGTACTGTAGAGGCAACATCGTGGAGCGGGCTTCCCTTTGGGATGAAATATTGGCTTGTTTCCATAGATGGGGAAATAAAGGAGTGATTGGTGGGGATTTTAACATGACCCTGAGGAGATGGGAGAGGTCCAGAAACTTGTTCTCTACGTCTGAAGCTAGTGATTTCCAACAATTTATTGATGTTTGTGGTTTGGTTGATCTCCCGCTGAAAGGGGGGAATTGGACGTGGAGTAATGACAGAGATATTCCATCCTTTTCAACGATTGATCGCTTTTTCATCAGCCATGAACTCCTACTGGAAATGCCTAATTTTTCTCAAAAGGTACTCACTATAACCCTATGTGATCATTTTCCTATTGTTCTAGATCCTAGGGGGGTATTAAATGGGGTCCTTCCCCATCCAGAGTTGACAATAAATGGTATAAAGTTGAGAGTTTCAGGGTTATGGTTGAATCTGTGTGGAATAATACTACCTGCAGAGGGACTCCTAGTTTCCGCCTTGTCAGCAAGCTTAAAAAATTGAAAGAAGAAATTAAAGTATGGGTTCAAGAAGTGGACAGGGTGGAGAGTGGTCTAATCAGTGATCTCATGAAGGAAATTGCTATTCTTGATAAACAGGATGGTGAGTTGGGCTTATCTGCTACTGACAGAAAAAGAAGGAATAATCTTAAACTTGAGTTAGCCTCCAAACTCAATCTGGAAGCTATTTCTTGGTAACAAAAAGTTAAGGAAAAATGGCTCAAAGAAGGCGATAAAAACACTAAATATTTTCACTGCCTCGCCAACTACTGCAGAAGTATAAATTATGTTGAGGAACCTTTTATTGAAAATTCCAGAATTGAGGGCAACAATGATATGAAGGACAGTGCTCGCAATTATTTCCAAAATTTGTTCACCAAAGATTGTTCTTGGAGACTGAAATTGGATAATTGCCTTTTTAACAGATTGGATGAGGCTGCTGTTTCCCTACTTGAAGCTGAATTTTCTAAAATTGAAGTTTATGATTGTCTTATGGGCTGTGAGGGTGATAAAGCTCCAGGTCCAGATGGTTTTAACATGAAATTTTTCCAACTGTTTTGGGGTGTGGTTAAGAAAGATATCATGGATTTTTTCATGGATTTCCACAAGAACTCCTCTTTTGTCAAATCTCTAAATGCTACTTTTATGCTTTTGATCCCAAAAAGGAAAAATGCTTCAAATATTAAAGACTTCCACCCTATGAGTTTGGTAGGCTGTGTATACAAACTTTTCTCTAAAGTGTTTGCCTCTACATTGTCCAAAGTTCTTGAGTCGATCATTGGGGAAAATCAGCAACCTTTTGTGCATGGCCGGCAAATATCCGATGCCATCCTTATGGCCAATGAGGTAGTCGACGATGTGATCCGAAATAAAAAAGTGGCATCTAATGTAAGCTAGATATGAAGAAAGCCTTTGACCATGTCTCTTGGGGTTTTGTTGATCACATGCTTGAGAATCTTGGGTTCGGAACTAGATGGCGAAGCTGGATTAAAGAATGTATTACTACCACCTGTTTTGCGGTGATGATAAATGGTGGTCCATCAAAGTTTTTTAATGTTACTACGGGTTTAAGGCAAGGTGATCCCTCTCCCCACTTTTATTTATTATTGTCATGGAAGCACTTAACAAACTTGTAATGCAAGCACCGTTTATTGGGATGTTCTGGGGCCTTCTGGTGGGGAAGAATGAGTGTCAACTGGAATTCTCACATTTATTTTTTGCTGATGACATTCTTTTCTTTTGTCAAGATAATGTTAATAATGTCTTACACCTTCGTTGCATTTTATTGTGTTTTCAAGCTATTTCGGGCTGAAGCTTAATGTGGATAAATCTGAACTGATTAATCTGAGGGATAATTCCGCTGGTCCTCTTGCTTATGCTCTCGATTGCAAATCTGGCCAACTTCCATTAAAATATTTGCGTGTACCTCTTGGTGCTAGACATAAAGACAAAAACAGTTGGGAGCCAGTTATTGATATGTTTCAGTGCAGACTGGCATGCTGGAAAAGTAAACTCCTATCTAAGGGAGGGCATTTAATTCTAATCAAAAGCACCCTATCCAATCTTCCCATTTATTTCTAATCAGTGCTCACTATTCCCAAAAGTGTTGCCAAAAAACTTGAAGCTATTCAATGCAGATTTTTTTGGGGGGATGATTCCACGAGGAGGAAGTTCCATTTAGTTAAGTGGGAGCAGATCCAAAAACAGACCAAAGACGGTGGCTTAGGCATAAGATCAATATTGTGTCTCAACAAAGCTTTATATGGCAAATGGATTTGGAGGTTATGGAATGATAATGACAGCTTGTGGAAGAGAGTTATCGCTTGTAAATGGTTTGACAATGATACTTCTGATTATAATCATGTCAACAGGAGCTCTTTTGGTTTCAGTCTTTGGAAGAGTATTATGACTTCCAAGGAACTTGTATGGAACAACTGTAAATGGGTGGCTGGGAAAGGAGACAAGATAAGGTTCTGACAGGATATTTGGTGTGGTCAGATAAGTCCGCAAAATCAGTTTCCTCACGTTTATGCTATTGCCAAAGACAAAAACATGCTTCTGGAAAAAGCTTACAGGATCAGCAACCCCCTGGTTTGGGATGTATCTGTCACAAGAAATTTAAAAGATTGGGAGGTGATGGAATATGTGAATCTGCACCGGTTGCTGGCTGATGTGAATATGGGCACTTAGCCTGATAAATTATGCTGGAATTTGTGTAAAAAAGGCTCCTTTACAGTTAAATCCTTCTATAAACTCTTAATTCCTAGCGCGGATTCTGCTATTGTTTTCCCTCACAAGATTATCTGGAATTACAATGTTTCTCCCAGAATTTCTGTCTTCACTTGGGAAGCCTCTTTGGGTTGTATCTCCTTCACCATTGATAACCTCATGAAAAGAGGATATGCCCTGGTTACCTGGTGTACTATGTGCAGAAGAAACTATGAGTCTTGTAACCATCTTCTTCTTTGGTGTCCGGTTGTTTATGAGTTATGGTCTATGATCTACAAGCTTCTTGGCATCTCCTGGGTTATTTCCGGATCTGTTAAGGATGAATTGCTGACTTGGGAAGGGCTTAAAACAAGGAATAGATGGCATAAAGTAATCCCATTAACTATTTTATGGATCATTTGGAAAGAAAGAAATTATATGATATTTGAGCGTAAAGACATAAATTTTGATTTTATCAAGAATAGGTGGCTGCATTTTTTTGGTACTATTGTACTTGGCCACAATCTTGACTCTTATGAGGATTTAGGTTCGATGGTAGATATTATCACTGAGCTGTAAATCCTTTTTCTTGTATATGGGTTACGCCCCCTTGGCGTCCATTTTAATTGCATTTTTCTCTTTTATCTCAAAAAAATTTAGTGAGCTTCCACATGAGTGTATACAAATTATAGGTCAACCGTTTTTATCATCTTAAACTATAATAACTCATTAGGTGACCTAATGATTTAATACGAACAAACAGATTCTCACTAATCACTGCAGGTTAAGATTCAAAATTTGTCGCAACATTTTAGTTTTAGATTTAAAAAAATAAAATCTAGCACCCAGGTGATAAGCCAAATATCCATGTGCTCTAGGTAACAACTCAGTCAAGCATACTAAGTCTGACAGTTAGATGATTTACTTACCAAGTCATGCGATGAATTCTTCAACTCAGACAGGACGGCAGCTGAATCTGACCTAATAGGACAGTTAAACACCTGAAATTTGTATTATAAGCATTTAGTTATGGTTGTATTAAGAAAATCACCCTAAAGTTGATATAACCATTATGAAAGAAACATAAGTAGTTCATAGAAACAAGTGAAAGTAATTGCATAAAAATAAAATAATTTGTTCAATCACCGCAAAACCAGCAAAAGTAAGGCCGCTCTCCACAACATCTCTTTCCAAGCTTCTAGCTTCACTAACCTGAATGCCACATAAAAAATAAACAAGAATAACTAAAGCAGACAAGAAATGAATATTCAACAATTTAGTAGACTAATAACATTTACCAGAACTTTTCTTTGTTTATCAGAACTTTTCTTTGTTTATGTGTGTTGAGCATCAATATTATAGTCATATAAGACAAGGCATTCTTCCAATTCCAAAAAAGAAGATTTTTTTCAGTGGACAGTTTCAGAAAGAATATTTAAAAAATTGTGTTAAAGGTCCATCTTAAAGGAGTATTGCACGTCAGCTACATTCAGAACAAATCAGGAAATGTTATGGAATTTAATTAGGAAATTCATACTGATTTCAATTAGAAACCTATGTAATTTCATGTGGAATTGAAACAATGCATTCCAAACTCCACTAAAATTAATGAGACTTGGAATGCATCACTCCAACTAAAAATGATTTTGCAAATTAATTTCTATAAAAATTTTGGATTATTCCAAACATAACCTTAAAACTTCAATAGTGGCTTCACTTGAGTGAGCATATATAACATGCTTAACCAGGATCAGAAGCTTCTTCTGATCAAGGAAGAAAGAGTTAGATAGTACAATAGAGCAGCCAACTTCAAGCCAACAACTGTCCTTAAACTCAAAGTTTAAAGAACATAGCTCAGCAACAATAATTTTTTTAAAAGAAAATTCATGAGAAACAACTCACAAATTACTCAAGACCCAGGTTTCAGTAAAAATGTTACTGAGATTATTTTAAAAAAAAAAGTAACTGAGACACTGATCAGTAAGTGATAATCATCATGTGACTAAAGACTAAAAGAAAGCAAATATAACCATGAGACGAGAATACTAACCATCATATCTGGAAGGGACTTAAAAGCAAGGGCCAAAACACGAGAACCTTGACGTGTGTATTTCTTATATGTCTCTACATATGATGCAGGTATATCTGTGAGCCTGTCCTGGATAGTTTCAGGTGCACCCTGAACAAATAGTGAGTGAAAAATTATTTTACAAAATAAACTGATTACAGTTGGTTAGGCTGGGACTTTCATGCAAAGCCGGTCCTCATGCTCTCTTTTCTCTATAAAGAATACAACAAACAAGAATGCATACATGAGCTGGATAGAGATGAACAATGCACACAATAGATTTAGTAATGGTCACATTTAGGTCAAAATGATAGTTCTAATACCAAGACTTTGCCGAATATGTGATTAAAAATATGGTCACCTGTCATTTCTTTTTAATCCTTTAATAAGGGTTACCTTGAGGGAGTGCTTGGATACTGTCATATCCTTGACTTTGATTTATCAAGACAAACAAATGGTCTTGTCCTTATCACTTCAATACTTTAGGTATAGCAACAAGGCACCTCATATCAGACAAATAATAGCAAAAGACATAACTTAAAATTTATACCAAAGTTAAATTTCCAGTTCTTCATTTGAGTGATGAGTATTTTAAGGACAAGTGGATGCTCACAATTATTTTCTTTTCTTTACTATTTATTTTTTATCTAAAAAAGTGAAAGAAATATTTTTTTGATAAGAAATATATAGTATCATTAACAAGCACCAAGGGTGTACAAACCCATGTACAAAAATATTTACAAACCAATCATGATATCTATCAAATCACCAAAATCCTTTATGGAGCACAAAGGTTGACCAATTACAAAAAATCCTAGGGTCTGAAACCATCTCGCTCTAATCTTATCAATATCCTCTTCCACCACATCAAACGTCCTCCTATTTCCTTCTTTCCATATAATCCAAAAAATTGTCAATTGAATGAGCCCCAATTGCTTTTTTTTATCAGTGATACCCTTCCATGCCCAAGTTTCATCCTTTACACGACCAGCCACCTCTTGCACGGTTATGGTGAATGGGGGTCCATCTTCTTTTTTTAAGGCCTCAAGAAGACTTAAACAAGGTAACATATTACCTCCACTGTTGTTCATTGTGATTAAGAAAAATGTGAAATAAATGAGAACACCCCATCCTTTTGTTTGCTTTCCTCCCAATTCCCTCAATCCACATATAAGCTAAGACTGCTGTGTGGTTTGGTTTTGGACGTTCTTTTTGGTAGATAGTTCAATCATTTTTTAGTTTCCGCTCCTTAGCATGGGTTTACTTTGCATTAATTCACCTATGTGTCTGTCATACTGATGCTTAATATTATTAACCCCTGATCCTATTTGCTTCTCATTCATAAGTCAATTTAAGGACATGAATACTCATTATCTTCTTCCCTGAAAATTGCTCATGTATAGATATGTTACTGCTGAAAAAGAGTAAACCTATGCTTCAAGTGTAATGTTGGCTTCATTTATATATGCTTGAGATGTTGTTTTGGACTGAGGGATACCTTGTATCAATTACTAGTGCTGTGGTCCAATTCTGTTATGTGATGAAGATGATAAAGTGGGTTTAATTGGTTGTGGATTTAAAAGGCAACATGCTCAAAAGGAAGCAGTGAAAGAGACTGCGGAGATTTATTTGTCTTCTCTCCACCTGATAAAGTTTTTAAATGTTTACCTTTATAGTCTAGTATAAATGTTGCATTCAGGCACTTAACATATATTAGTACACAAAATAAATGTATACAAGTTTTTAAATGTTTACCTTTATAGTCTAGTATTTTATTTTTTTTGAAATAAACCTTTATAGTCTAGAATAAATGTTGCATTCACACATTTAACATATACTAGTACACAAAATAAATGTGTGCAAGTTATAATTAGTTAATTAGCCTATACCACCAAATGAATGCCTTGCACTTTCCCTCCGCACTATTTTCACCCAGATTTTGGTTCTGATACCAGTATTGATTTTATATTTTTGATCTCGCTTCCAATAAAATAGTAGCATCTTCTAATCGATGTTATTCTTATTTTCTGGGAGCTGCAATACTATGCAAAATGTTCGAAAGTTGCCTGACAATATGAATGCATAGCAGTAAACATACCTTGACAAAGGCAAAAAATTCCTCCTGAATACGGACAACAACTGCCATTCTTTTCAAATGTGAGGCGAAATGGTGTCTCTGGACAATCTGCACAGCGTGGCCGCCTCCCCTGCAATTGATTTTCCATATAGAAAATGAAGATAATAAGACTCAAACAAAGGGGCCCCCTAAGGGACAAAACAGCATGTGAAGTCATACAGTGATAACAAAGAAAGCTTAAATACTTCTGTGGTTGCGATTTTTAAAAAAAGAAACAATTTTTCGTAATATTTTTGTTTGATTTATGTGTAAAAGAAACACAACAATTAGTAATTCAAATATTGTCAATCATACCCCTTATAATATAATAGCAAGTTAAAATTAAGGGTAAAATAAAAAAGTTACTATTAAAATTTTTAAACCTTTTGAGGGAGTCGATGATGCGGATGGTTTTGACATACTTAAAAATCAATGGTTACAGACTCTTAATTTTTTGTTAATGAGTCATTCTCCTCACTCGATAGAGGAGTTAGAGGTATTGATATTCTGATCGATATGTAAATTTCTTGTATATGGTTTGACACCTCCTTAGTGTCATTATTAATATTATACTTTGCATTTGATATTCAAAAAAAAAAATTAACCTTTCTTTCCATACTTTTCTACTAAAATGTTGAAATCAAAATAATATACATTTAAAGAGAAATGAACGAACGCTCACCATGCCCTCCTTTTGCTTACTCATTTTCATTTTTTGATTCAACAAGTGAGAGGAAGCAAGCATTCAATATTTCCCTTTTTTTTTTCTCTCCCACCTCCTTCAATCCAAACGGATAGAGGACAAGCAAAATGGTTAAGATCATATGCATGAACTAAAGAATTGGGAAAAAAGATGTGTATGTATCAAATAAAAGCTATGTCTTTTAGTATGCTGCTGCTTCCTAACTAGAGTCTTTGTGGATTTCAAAGTTTTTTTTTTGTGGCTTTTATTTCAGCTTTTACTTCAACTCTGTTTAAGAATAATCCCAAAAATATCTGGAACGAACTTGCAAATCCACATGTAGTTCAACTATGAAATTGTGTAAATTATATTCGGTGACAAAAAAAATGATATTGTATGAAATGCTAGTAACTCTGGAAGAACATATTCCCAAATTACATCAAAATGA